TGGTGAGCGGGAGTGGTGCTGAGGAGAATGGCACTGTGCAGGAGAAGAAGAACGTGGCATCATAGCCGGCTTTCCTCTAGACAGCACCGGGCATGGAGGTACCGGGGGCTTGTCCCTGACCACCAAGGGCTGCGGTGCCATCAGTTCTATTAACTCCCTGGCAGCTTCAAAAGGGTCCGGGGTGGAGGGGAGCTCCAATTCCTCCACCTGGCACTGCCTGTCTGGGGAGTCACTGGGCGCCAGACTCAGTGGTCCCCCTCAGGGGACCGAAGCCAACTGTTGACCCTTGGGCACTGAGTGCTCCTTCTTGGGACACACTGCTGATGCACCCGGAGGCTGAGACACTTTCAGCCTCGGTATGCAGCCTCTGTCCGTTTTCTTCCGCTTGTGCAGTACTGGCGAGTGGGAATGGTACCGGTAGTCTGCGGTGCCGGGGAGCGGTGCTTAGGGTCTCTGGACTCTTTTCTCTGTGCCGTATGATGCACTGAGGCCAGAGCGCTACACACCGATTCGCTCGGCGCTGGAACCCCGTGCTCTGAGGTGGGTTGACGATGGAGAGCGGACTCCATCAAAAGCTGTTTCAGACAGAAGTCCCACTCCTTTTTGTCCTGGGTTGAAAGGACCTACAGATTTTGTACCTGTCTGTTTGGTGCTCTTTCCCCAGACACTTCAGGCACGCGTCATGGGGGTCACCCGTTGGCATGGGCTTACAGCAGGTCTCAGATGGTTTAAACCCTTGGCTCCGAGGCATGCCCCGGAGCTGAGGGAAGGAAATGGATAGGGTGGAACCCCGGTCCCTAACCAATAGTATAACTCTAAACTATGCTAAACTAAGAACTGAAACATATGCCAAACTTAACAAACATGCTAAGGGAAGCACTTGTGAGGCAAGTGAAAGCTCTTCCAACGACCCATCACGGGTGGTAAGAAGAAACTGAAGGGGGGTCAGGTCGGCAGGGTCATATATTGAGCACCATAAAAGTGTCACTTCAGGGGGCTCCATGGCCTACCCGAAGGGTGCTGCTAACGGAAACCTTTCTGACGATTGTGCCCGCAGCACGGGCACACCTACTTGGAACTGACGTGAACAAGCACTTGAAGAAGAAAGAATGGTTACTTACCTTACAGTGGTTGTGGTGCTTCAAGATGCTGTCATCCATGTGGATCCCCCCCTGAGCTTTAGTACTGGAGATCTGTCCGATTTTACACATCACTCTTGGAATCAGGGGAATTGGTGGAAGGGCATAAATGAGATTTGGGTCCCATGGTGGTTCCCCTAAGGGCTAGTGAGAAAACACTGCTAATTTTGTCTCATTGCCCTGGCTGGGAAGAAAGAACTGAAAGACGGTTGCGGCTGCCCTGCCCTTTGTGTCCTGGGATGGGAGGACATGCATGGTGCAGGCATGGCCTAATAGACACACTCAAAAAAGAACTTAACATTTCTAAATTCTATATATAGAAAACGTGATGGTCTGAGGGGCTAGTTTATTGCCAGGAGTGTGGGATGAATGTATTACTCACAGATGGAGGCACCTTTATTATTTATTATTTTTTTATGATTCCTATTGCTCATCATGGGCCAGGATCCTGATGTGCTAGGCACTGTCCAAACCCAGAACAATGAGATATAGATATAGAATATCCTTAATAAAAGTGGCAATAAAAAGGTTTATTCCATACCACAGAACTTCACAGTTTATGCCAGTTATTTTGTATATTTTTTAAGGTGTGATTTGAAACCACTTTAGTCCAAGCTTTGATTTTAAACCACTTTAGTCCAAGCTGTGATTTTAAACCATTTTAGTCCATGTTAATGGATGCTCTTATTTTGGTTTAAGAGTCACTTATTTCGGTTTAGCTTAAACAATTTCTTAATTGAGCTAAGCTATATTGCAATTAGCCACTATAAAAATGATATAAGAGTGCCCACACAGGGATTTGCAATGGTTTAACGAAACTGGTTTAAAAATTTCACCTTTAAAAGCCAAGAATTTTGAGTTATACTATGCCAAGAAAAAAAGCCCAACAATCCTCACCGGCAAAAAACCAAACCCATTCAGAAAATGGCCAAGAAGTAAGATCCCCACCTCATTTTGAAACACCTTTATCTCCCAAGAATCTGGCCCTATATGCTTCAAACTATCTGGAAATCTTTATCCTGGCATAAATCTCTCCCATTATATTTAAAGCAGGTTTGGTAAAAATTAAATGTGTGGAAGTGGGTATCAAAATTGGGCTTCTAACTGAAAGCTTGTTTTAGCCATAACTATAGTGGGGACTAGCATTCTTCCATAATGGAGGGTTGTTTACCAGAAAAAGAAAAGGGGAGGGGAGTTTACCTGTGCTGCTACTGCCTGCTTCTTCATAGTACTCCGTGGAGGCAGAGATGGAAAGGTCACCAACATTGCTGCTGTTGTCAGGTCTGCTGCTCTCACTGTTGTAAACTTTGCCAGTGTAGCTGCTAGCTGCTTGTAGGGGGAATTCGCCAGATGCAGATAAGTAAAGTTGGTCATTTTTGCTGCTGCTTTCTTGCAAAGTGGACTGGCCTGAGACAGAGAACAAAGTATTATCATTGCTTTGCCTAGCTGGCCTGGAGCATTTACTAAAGGAAAATTTGCTATTTCATTTCACTATTTGACCGTCAAATATTTTTCCAGAAAGGAATGTATTCATTTTACTATTAGGCAAGAAGGAAAAGTTAATAATGTTTCTATGATTGTATAGGTATAATTGGTATAGATAGTTAAATTAACCCATCCGTGTGTATAAAATCAACATAAATGGCAGAAACATGGATATACAGTACAATGGATGTACACAAAAACATAGTGTGATGGGGTGTCTGCCCTACACTGGCAGAGAAGGGGTTAATAGAGCCTTGGGGAGCGGTGTGGGACGCGGCCAATAGGAGAGGGGCTGTGAGGAACAGCCATTTGGGGCCCAGCAGGCCCATATAAAAAGGGAGCTGCAGGGCAGAGTAGGGCAGTTGCTGCTGGGAGCCTAGGGAGTGAGGACTGTATCCCTGGAGGGCACAGAGAACTGTAAGCATCTTGGACAGAGGTAGCGTTACCATATTTAACAAATAAAAAAAGAGGACCCTCCACGGGGCCCTGGCCC